CCTGATTGACACCTAACTGCTCCCCTGCTGGCCCGATTGCCCCCAACTGCCCTCCCCTGCAGGCCTGGTTGCCCCTAACTGCCCTCCCCTGCAGGCCTGGTCGCCCCCAACTGCCCTCTCCTGCCAGCCATCCTGTGACGATGTGGGGGCGGCCATCTTGTGACAACGTGGTGGTGGCCATCTTGTGATGACATGGGGCAGCCATCTTGTGATGGCGTGAGGGTGTGAGGGTCAATTTGCATATTACCTTTTTATTATATAGGATTGGATTCCACATATGAGTGAGATCACATGATACTTGTCTTTCTCTGACCAGCTTATTTCACTTAGCATAATACTCTCCAGGTCTCACCATACTGTCTCAAAGGATAAGAGATCCTTCTTTTTTACAGCTGCATAGTATTCCACGATGTAAATGTACCACAGCTTTTCAGAGTCTGGTTTCTGATGGGGCCGCTTTCAGAATGAGCCACCACACATTTACCAGAAAAGCATATTCCTTCCCTTGGCTCAAAATCAATCAGTCAATCAATCAATAAATCTCTGTCACACACACACACACACACTCACTCACACCCCAGGACCTTCCCCAGTTGGTAGCATTCACTGCCATCTTTGGCCCTAAGCTCAGGCCTGAAGTGGAAGCCCCTGAGTTCTGAGGTAAGAGCTAGAAGCTGTTTTGCCAAAGGCATGAACCCCACATCCGGTACTGCCTCCTGCCTCTTATTTTGCCAGAGAATGTTTTGAGGACAAATAGTAGGATGGAACATGGCACATCTCCCTGCCCCAGGGAGTGGGGCGAGGGCTCGACTTATGAGCACGGTTGAGTAAGTGAGAACCAGGAGACTGGATGGCAGACACCGCGACCTTGGCCTGCATTCTCACTTTTTCTTTTTTTAAAATATATTTTATTGATATTTTACAGAGAGGAAGGGAGAGAGATGGAGAGTTAGAAACATTGATGAGAGAGAAACATCGATCAGCTGCCTCCTGCACACCTCCTACTGGGGATGTGCCCACAACCAAGGTACATGCCCTTGACCGGAATCGAACCTGAGACCCTTCAGTCCGCAGGCCTACGCTCTATCCACTGAACCAAACCGGTTTTGGCGGCCTGCATTCTCAAGAGCACTCTGCTTTTGGTCTCGCTCTGACCGGGCACAGCGCACGGAGATGGAGACGCCATGCTCATTCTGGTCCTTGCCCTGAGTTTGAACAACCTTCTCTTCATTCTTAGAATACGGTATCTTGTGTTTTATGGGTGTGTGCTTTTCTCGGCCTTCGTTTCCTATTCAGAACATTGCTTAGGCCACGTGGCACTTTTTGTGTGGCTGTATTTATGATGTCCGGCGGCATAATGCATTTCACTGGTTACTTCATTGCGAGGGTGTCTCTGAAAGTTTAACAGAGTAGAAGCAGAGTTGCATCTTAGGTTAATTTCTGTTTGAATTTTTGGATTTTATTTTTTAAGTTTCTATTTTATATCTCGATGCAGGTCGGAGTTCCTAGTAACAACCTGAGTCAGTTAAGAAAACATAAGGCAGTGATCTGCTCCTCCTGTGAATGATTACAGGCTGCTCGAGGGCGGCCTGGGAGGCGGGTCCATACGGGCTTATCTCTCTCTTCATTCTGTTGTCTGGACTTTCTGGGGTTTGAAGAACAACCACCGTCAGCAAGTGCACATGCAGTGGGGGAGGCAGGCATGTAAAAAAAATCGTGGATTTGGTGGACTGTGTGCACAACAGTAGAGGCGAGCTAAGTGACTGTCCACGCTGCCTGCTGAGGACTCAGGAAAAGGCAGTGGTTCTCAGACTTTTAGTCTCAGGACTCTGTTACACTAAAAAAATGATTGAGGATCCGAAAGAGCTTTTGTGTATGTAGGTTAGAGTTCAGTCTGTCAGGATTTACTGGATCAGAAAGAGACACAGAGAACTTCAAAAACTAGTAATTAATTTAAAAATACCAAGAATAAACACGTAACATAACCTATCATAGAAATAAGATATTTGTAGAAGAGACAGTATTTCCTAAATTTAAAAAAATCAGTGAGAAGAATAGCACTGTTCTACACTTTTACACATCTGTTTCATGCCTGGCTTAATGGGACACAGCTGGGTTCTCATTTCTCATCCATTCAATCTGTTATGAAATGTTGTTTTGGTTGGACTACATGAAGAAAATATGACCCCACACAGATATGTAGTCAGAAGGAGGAGGAGCATTTTAATATGTTTTTCATATAATTGTGGGTATTCTTGTTCAATAGAAACTAAAATATGGCAAATGGTAGGTTGAACTGTGGAATCTAAACCATCATTAAACTTTTGCTACTTCTACACTCATTAGACAGGCAAACATTGGTGCCATTGTAAAAATAGTTCTGACCTCATGGACCCTCCAAAAAAGGCCCCGGGGACCCCGAGGGGTTCCCAAAGCACACTCTGAAACGGCTGGTTTAGGGAAGCGTTCCTGGTGAAGGTTTTGCCAGTGGGAGCCCCCAGGGTCCAGGGGGCAGGAGAGGAGTGAGGATGG